CAAATGAAGATAATCTAATCTTGATCCATCTACTAAGATATGTAACACAACAGAGTTACAGAAACAGGAAGATAGAGAAAAATGAACAGCCAGATAGTCCATCAGCTGGCTCACTCCCCAAGTGGCCACAGCAGCCGGAGCTGCGCCAGGCAGAAGCTAGCAGCTGGGAACCCACTGGGGTATCCCATGCAGGTGCAAGGGCCCAAGCACTTGGATCATGTTCCACTGTTTTTCCCAGGCACACTGGCAGGGAGCTGGATTGGAAGCAGAAAAGCTGTGACTCAGACTGGTGCCCATACGGAATTCAGGCACAGGAGATGCTGACTTAACGTGCTACAGCACCAGGTCTTCCCCTTTTAAATATTCTTGCCTGGATCTGTCCAATCTGCAGATCTGAATCTTTCAGTCGCTCAGGTGAACATTTAAATAATATGACAGAGCAGTCACTTGGCATGGAGGTCAAGGCACTGTTTGGACACCTGCATGCCACAGCACCGCGTGGCCTGCTCACCATCCAATTCCAGCTTTCTGCCAAGGTGTTCCCTGGAAAGCAGCAGTTGACAAGTTGGCAAGCAGCTGGGTCCCTGTCACCCACAGGAGACCTGGATTAAGCTTTGGTCGGGGAGGGAGAGGGAGCACTATGTTGTGGCATATTAGACTAACCCTCCGCCTGCAGTACCAGCATCCAATATGGGCACTGGTCCTAGTCCCAGCTGTTCCACTCTTGTTCTGACTCCCTGCTGATGGTCTGGGAAAAAGACCGCAAACGGTCCAAGGCGTTGGGCCCCAGCACCTATATGGGAGACTTGAAGGAAGCTCCAGGCTCTCAGCTTCAAATGGGCTCAGCTCTGGGCATCACAGCCATTTGGAGAGAGAACCAGCAGATGGAAGATCATTGACTTTCACTCCTTCTCTGTAACTTGACTTTCAAGTAAGGTAAAAGCTTTGGTCTGGCCCAGTCCCAGCTATTATGGGCATTTAGGGAGAGAACCAGCAGATGGAGGTCTTGTCAGTCTCTCTGCCTTGCAAATAAACATGCTCATAACTAACACTTCTTCAGTGACATCGGAGGCCGTACCTCTACGTGTCCCATGTTCCCTACTCTCCTAAATTACTTCATTTTTTTTTAGTATTCTAGCCTTGTCTCACTGCTTTAGTTTCCAATTGTAGTGATTCTGCCATCCTATACTTTTACTGAGTATGTGATTTTTTTGTAGTCAAGTTTATGTCTAAAACCTCTGTTTTCATTCATCTAACCCAAATAAATTTTTTTATAAAATAAGTTCAAAACATTTATTTAAAAAGCAATATGACAGAAAGGAGACAGGAAAAGACAGATCTTCCACATGCCAACTGCTGCCAACAGCCAAGCCTGGGCCAGGTCATGGCCAAGAACCAGGAACTCCCACCTTGCAAGTACTGGGCCATCACCTGGTTGCTTTCTAAGGTGCAAAGGAAACTGGGTTGGAAGCAGAGTAGTCATTACAAGTGGCAGCTTAACCGGCTGAGCCACAGTGCTGGTCCCAGCAAACTTGCATTAAGCAGCTACGAGGTTCCAGCCATACACTGCATCTTAACTGAGGCAGCACTCCCTACAATCCTAACTTAAGGGAGGGGAAAGCGGTTCATTAGATTTTCTTTATGAAAAACAAACTTTTCAGCATATGTTTCCAATAGACTTAAAGATGTCGGTTGTGCGCCTATAAAACTTGTGCATAACATGAAACTAGGGGATCAGAATACACACTTCTGATGAAAAGAAACAAAAATGTATGGGGCAGGCATGATGGTGTAACAGGCTACTCCTCCACCTGCTGGCACTAACATCCTATTTGGCCACCAGTTCGAGCCCTGGCTGCTCCACTTGTGATCCAATTCTCTGCTTGTGATCTGGGAAACTAGTGAAAAATGGTCCAAAGCCTTGGGCCCCTGCACTCATGTGGGAGATCAGAAAGAAGCTCCTGGTTCCCAGTTTCAGACTGGTCGAACTCTGGCCATTACTACCATCTGGGCAATGAACCAGATGGAAGATTTCCCTTTCTCTCCCTCCCTCCAACTCTGACTTTCCAAGTAAAATAAATAAATCATTTTAAAAAAATCTGGAAAGAATGGACAGCTGAGCGGGGTCACATGTGCTGAATCCTCCACACAGTCCCCTCTTGGAGCTACAGCCTGGCCCTCCTCACGGGATACCCACTTGCATGTGTAATAAGAGACAGACCGATGAGCTAGGGTGCCAGTACCAGCTTTACTGGCAGGTACTCCTGGTACGGTCATATGGCTGCAGCAAGTGTCCTGCCCAGCGGTGCCAGGTCTGCACCCACAAAGTGCTACTGAGAGAATGCAACACAAAGGCAACAGCTTAGCGTGAGTTCCTGCTTCTATTTTATCTAATCCCTAAAATGATCTTAATCAACAAACTCCTTTTAGCTCTCACATGGGAGGGCTTCATTATAAACGAGTGCATCCTAACATATTACCCTGCTGGATCCCAGCTCATATATATATTTTTTTTCCTTTTCTTTTTTTTGGCATTTTTGTTAAGTTACTTCTTTGTGCCTCAGTACAACAGGGACAAGTCATTCTGTTTGCAAGATTATCAAGCATTACACGATACAACACATAAAGCATTTGGCCCAGTGCCTGGCTCATAGTAATTTTCAGTAAGTATTCATTCTAGCATTTAATACCGTGATATGCTGATAAGCCACATCTTCCTCACAGTCTCCACAGTCTGTACCCATACAGCTGGTTTGGGAACCTGGTAATGGGATATAGCACTTATCCCTCTTAACTATTATGTTCTATGATTTGACTCCCCATTCAAACTGTCAAGACATTTACAAGTTCTGTTTCTGTTCATCAAATACATTTATTATTCCTTCCAGTTTCACATCATCCGCAAACTGTATGGGCATGCAGCCCACACCTTCAAGCACACCAGCAAGAATGCTACAGGCACGCCCCTGGGGAAACATCCTGACAAACCTAGCCAACATCCATCATCCCTCCGCCCCTGCAGGGTGACCCACCAGGCCAGAGCCCTGCAGACAGCAGAACTCTATTCATGCTGTATTTCCCTCTGTTCCTAAGCCTACAGCAGGTGCATTTGTGGTGGTCTCAGACCTGCCTCCTACCTACAGATTCTAGAATGTCTGACACGTACATGGATCTCAGTGGCCTAGAGACTTTACTCCACCTTCTAAAAATTACAATGATCTGTGTGAGTCGGTCCCCCTAGCATTCTAGAAACTCCATTTATACAAGACTTCAGGGATCCCAGTGGCGACAATCACAGTTGTGAGAACGGGGTTGTGTATAGGAGAAACCCTGGACTCAATTAGAAAAGAGGGCTAGGCTGTAACACTTCTCATTCCACACAGAGCATCCCATAATACAAACACTTTCAAAAAGCGTTCCTCTGTAAAACATGGCATCTGAAGCCATGGTCTAAATCAATGAGCCAGAAAATGAGTTGGCTTTTTTTTTTTTTACCTTTTATTTCCCCTTCATGTATTTAAGGTTCTACCAATATTTTATAATCTTTATAAAGAGGCATTCACCTTCCATACCATTCTTCCTGTTGGTTTTAAAATCGAAGAGAGGGGGCCCGGCGGTGAGGCCTAGCGGCTAAAATCCTCACCTTGAACACACTAGGTTCCCATATGGGCACCGGTTCTAATCCCAGCAGCTCCACTTCCCATCTAGCTCCCTGCTTGTGGCCTGGGAAAGCAGTCAAGGATGACCCAAAGCTTTGGGACCCTGCACCCATGTGGGATACCCGGAAGAAGTTCCTGGATCCCGGCTTCGGATCGGCATAGCATCGGCCATTGCGCTCACTTGGGGAGTGAATCATCGGACGGAAGATCTTCCTCTCTGTCTCTCCTCCTCTCTGTATATCTGACTTTATAATAAATACATAAATCTTTTAAAAAAATAATAAATAAATAAATAAAATCTAAAAGAGGGTCCAGTGTGGTGACCTAGTGGCTGAATACTCATCTTGCATAGGCCAGGATCCCATATATAGGTGCCAGAATCTCATATACAGGTGCTGGTTTGTATCCCAGATGCTCTGCTTCCCTTCCAGTACCCTGCTTGTGAGCTGGGAAGGCAGTAGGGATAGCCCAAAGCCTTGGGACCCTGCACCCACACTGGGACACCTGGAAAAGGCTCCTGGCTTTAGATAGGCTCAGCTCTGGCCGTTGCAGCTGCTTGGGGAGTGAACCAACAGACAAAGATCTTCCTCTTTATATATCTGACTTTCCAATAAAAACAAAGAAATAAATCTTAAAAATAAATAAATAAATAAAACCTAAAAGAATGGAGCGCTAACCACACTGGCATACAGTGGGGAATCACATGTGTGTAACCAGATGCTTTCTGTACTGGCGTTGTGGCACAGCAAGTTAAGCTGCCTCCTACAATGCTGGCATCTCATAAGAATCCCAGCTTGAGTTCTACCTGTTCCACTTTGAATCCAGCTCCCTGCTGACGGACCTAGGAAGGCAGTGGAAGACGGCCTAAAGGAATGGCTCCTGCATCCACACGGGAGGCCCAGATGTCTTTCCAGGTTTCCGGCTTCAGCTTCGCACAATCCTGGTCGCTGTGACTATTTGGGGAGTGTACCAGCAAATGGAAAATCTCACTCTGCTTTTTCTTACCTCCCTCTCTTTCACTCTTTTTAACAAATGCATAAATATTTAAAAAAAAAAAAAAAAGAAAGAAAGAAAAAAGATGGTGTGTAGCCTAAAATTCTGTTATATATACTGTTATAAAGCACACTTCCCAGTTTCCTACAGATCATATAGAAAATGGCCACACCGTCCATTCTAATCTTAACGATCTCACAAGTTCTCTACAAGGAATGTTGCTCTTTACAATCTTTTTTTTCTTGAAAAAAAGAGAATCAGAAGGTGTTGTAGGACAGATGGAGACCTTCAACAGCTGAAGGGCACTGAGGAACCCTCAGTACGTGGCACTCCAGCCCCTCCAGTTACCTTGCAGCATGCAGCGGTAGGCGGACTCGGATATGGCATAGATGTGCGGGGGCATCTCGTGGCGTTTCTTCCCTCTGTACATTTCGATGATGTTCTCAGAGTAAATCGGGAGGTTCTTGTAAGGGTTGATGACTACACAGAAGAGTCCAGAGTATGTCTAAGACAGCAACACAACACAGTGTTAGCAAACGGGAGGGGGATGGACTTAAACAAGCCATCCTAGCTTAGATGATTCTCTCTCTGTCCTCCCCACCCCCAAATTAAATCCAGCCCACCCCTCGTGGCTCCTGCAGGCATCTGGGAAGATGCCTTGCTCCCATCTTTGCAGGGCTACTCCGGAGCTTCAAACGACACTTTTCACATCTATTCCTCCTGAGCACAAGGCATGAAAAGGCTATTAATGCAGTTTCAGATTCCAATTAATTAAAAAAAAAAAAAAACGAAAGAAAGAAAAGCTGAGTTTCAGCATAATACCAAAATATATACATATATTTTCATAGCTTCCTGACAAAGCTATTTAAAATATTCCTCCTTTTTCAATTAAGTCTTCAATTAAGTCTCTGCATAAGGATGGCTTTGGGCTGTCCTTGACTGCTTTCCCAAGCCACAAGCAGGGAGCTGGATGGGAAGCGGGGTTGCCGGGATTAGAACCAGCACCCATACGGGATCCCAGCATGCTCAAGGTGAGGACTTAGCTACTAGGCCATGGCGCCAGGCCCAAAATATGACTATTTACTAAAATTCTCATTTTATTTAGGTTAACTTGCAATCAGTGTGTGGTTATTTTTAAACAAAATAAATATTTTCAATTTTAATTCCTATAGCACAACAAATATCAATCTCTGTAATGCACACAAAACAGAAGCTCTTGGGGCTTCTTGATAGCTTTTCCATGCAGCCAGTGCAGAGGATGGGTGTGGCACAGCGGGTCAGATGCCATTCGGAATGCCCATCGGGTTTGAGTCTCAACCCCACTTGCCACCCACGTGGGTGACCTGGAACGAGCTCCAGGCTCTTAGCTTTGGCCTGCCTAGGGCCCAGCTGTTGCAGCATTTGGGCAGTTAACCAGGGGATGAAAAGTCTCTCTTTGTCTGTCTCTCTGCATTTCAAATAAACAATTCACAAAGACAAAATTACTCTTCAAAAAAAAAAAATAAATAAAATTCACATAGAATGATTTCCAAGGAGATTCTACAAAACAGACCCTGGGAACTATGGGAAAACAAGAGCCATTAGGGAGGCTGCCAGATACCCCAGCCTTCCAGGGGACTCTGAGTGTTGGGAAACAGACCTTTCATTTGAGGTGACTTGGGGATACCTAAAAGCCCTGGCAAAGGCTGGAGGCCTGGCAAGGGGCAGCTGTGCGGCCCACTTCCCAGGAGAACACAAACAGCTGTGTTCCCAAGGACTGACGCCCTGGGCGAGCACACGGGCGAGCACACCGGCCAGTCCCCCACAGACCACTCTGTTGAACACGGTGACTCCAAGACCCAGAATCCACCTCTCAGGCTGCTCTCCTGGTGTTCCTCCTAATTCTAGAATGCAGGGTCACAGGTCTCTGGACTACAAGTTCAGGAGAGGGCACAGGGCTGAGGGCACTGGTGCCCAGTCCGCCAGCTGGAGATGCTCTGCACTGGGGCAGCCCTGAGGGGCTTCCGCTGCCTGCCTGTCCAAGGCTGAGCTGGGCACCGTTCCTCCCAAGTCTCCAGGCCCCTGGCCCTGGCAACCACTCAGGACACACCTCAGATGACCCAGGCTAGGCTGACCCAGGCTGGCCAGGACAGGGAGGTCACTCTGCCAGACCTATGGCAAAGGCCATGAGAGAAGATAAAAGGACTTTGCCAAAGGTAGGCAGAAAAGCCAACTTTGAATTGAGTTTAAAAATCACGTATGTAGATACTTTTTAAAAACATACAATCTCACTTTGTTATTCAGAAACCAGATTACGGTCTCCATCATGACAAAACAAATCCTATACTACACTTCTTATAAAAGGGAAGGGATTGCAACTTGGATGTACCACCATCTCCTCCCCCCCCCCCGCAAAAAAATATTTAAAAAATTTAAAAAAAAACCTCAAAGAAAGTTAAAGCACGCATATTCAGTTATTCAGCTTAATATCCCACATAGCGTATATGACATGGCAACATGTTTCATCAGAAACATTTCTAACATGTGTCTACCAAGTGTCGGGCCCTTTTCCAAGGACAAGGATTACAGAGATGAGTAAGTCTCACAAACATGAGTAAGTCATCAAAAAAAAAAAAAAAAAAAAGGGAAGGAAAAGGTTTAAGTCATCACTTTCCCATTCTAACTGTAATAACAAATGCTTAGGTGGAAATATTCCTCATGTGCTTTAAGAGCTAACATTTTTTTGAAAGATTTATTCATTTTTATTGCAAAGTCAGATGTATAGAGAGAGGAGAGACAGAGAGGAAGATCTTCCATCCGGTGATGATTCACTCCCCACGTGGCTGCAATGGCTGGAGCTGCGTCAATCCGAAGCCAGGAGCCAGGAGCCTCTTCCGGGTCTCCCACATGGGTGCTGGGTCCCAAGGCTTTGGGCCGTCGACTGCTTTCTCAGGCCACAAGCAGGGAACTGGATGGGAAGTGGGGAGTGGGGCCGCTGGGACTAGAACCAGTGCCCATATGGGATCCAGGTGCTTGCAAGGAGAGCACTTTTGTTGCTAGGCTATCACGTCGGGCCCAAGAGCTAACTTCCAACTAGCTAGAAAATTAGCTCAGACATTGGTCTCCTGCCTAAACTGGCCACTGCCCTGATACTTTCGTCTCTCCTCCCCATCCTCTTCCCAGGCATATGTAGGAGGACAACATGTTGTTACAATACTTTCTCTACAGATAAAGTCCAAATTAGCCTTCATTAAGCATTTGAATGTACACAGGAGACAGAGAGCGCCTTTGAAGGCACAACAGATACACTCCAAACAAACAAGCTGCAACAGAAGGCGCCAAAACCACCTCAGCCAGGGTGAACAGGTTTCCTAAATAGCAGGGAGTACCCCGGGGCAGAACTAACACAGTCCCTGGGAGGTCTCCACCATCCTGGCGCAGGGTAAAGCTACACACACCACTCAGATCCAGGCGGACTTCAAGGTCTCGGTAAAGACTGTTAGGTCAAAAGACGGGGTAAGGGAACCCAGGAAAACAGATAGCACGAAGCTCTCCTGCTGGCGGGAGAGACTCAAAGCGGCAGAGGCCAGTCCAGCTGAACACCCTTTGTGGTGTGGAATGTGAGAGGAAAAGGGCACAGAAGGTCAATCCTAACAACTCTTTGCCCTGTGGGAGATGAGGAATCGGTCCGGAGGGAAAGGCAGCGTGAAGAAGAGAAACATCTCAGAACCGGCACAGGTCAGGTAACTACGGAAAACATACAGAAAGAGCAAGAGGCAAGGGCAGGAGGACCAGCAGAGGCTGCCGTAGCCTTGGCAGCCATGGAGCAGCGCAGAGAGGGATGAGGCCGGGAGGGGGTTATGGGGAGACAGACACACTCGAACCCTGGACACACAAGAACCCAAGCTGAGGACACCACAGTTTGAAGTCTAGCCAAGGGCATTAGGCTTTAGGCCTCGTGGATAGGCCACAGGTTAGGAGCTCTAGTTCCTGACACTAGCTTCCTGCCAGGGCAGACGCTGGGGTCCTTGTCACCCACTGTGGCTGGACTGAGTTTCCAGCTCCCAGCTTCAGTCTCCTGGTGATCACAGGCATTTGGGGAGCTAACCAGCAAGTGGGAGTGTGAAGAGTGACTTGAATATTGGCCCCGAAGAGGCTGAGACTCCTGTCAGTTTATAGAGTTGGCACTGATTTCACTTCGGTTCCCCTAAAGTTTCCATTTCATTTCTGTAACTCCTGCTCAATTTTGTTCTCCACCAATCCAGTCTGCTAGAGCCTTCATGGCATAGTGCCTGATGGACCGATGCACCAATCCCTCGGGGTCCCACGTTCCCAGTACCCCACTCTGTTCCCAATACTCACCCCTTGCTATGTGGAGTGGGTGGTTCCCAGTCTCTCCCCTGCCTCCCTTCAAGCCCCCTCCTATCATTGAAGAAAGGAGTCCTTTCTCTCTCTCTGCCTTAGTTCCCTCCCCATGACCATCTTCTGCCCTGCTTTCTCTCCCCCAAGGCCGCCTCTCCCACTGGAATAAAGACCTCCCGTGTGACTTGTTGGAGTCTGGAGCATTGGGTTAGTGGTGAAAATTCATAAGAGGGAGATCCTGATCTCGATCTTCTTTAAAGACTTATTTATTTTGAAAGAGTTACTAAGAAAGAGGAACAGACAGGGATAAAAACAATCTCGCATCTGCTGGTTCACTCCCCAGATGGTCGGCAATTGACCAGCCCAAAGCCAGGAGCCTTGTCCAGGTCTCCCAGGTGGGTGGCATGGGCCCAAACAATGGGGCCACCTTGCAATGCTTTGCCCAGGGAGCTAGGTTGGCACCCAGATGGAATTCCGACATCACAGGTTTTATCCAGTATGCCACAATGCAGGGCTCTGCATCTTAAGACTGGAAAAGTATCGACAGAAGCAAAAAGGTTATGTGACTTCTGGGGAAAGATAATGAATTCCTTTTTTACACACTGAGAATGTGAAAATGTGTGTGAGCCTTGTGGGATATCAGAGCCTGGGGACAATTCTGAAGACAACAGCAAAGGCTGCAGGGACAAGTGTGTGTAGCAACACCACAATGCACTTCACCTAGGAGAGACGGATACAACACTGGCACTCCCACAAGCACGCGCCACCTTCCAGGCCTGACCTTTCTCTGCTTATGGAACACCCATCTCCTGCTAACCTCACCCTGTGACACGTCAGGCTTTGGTTTCAGGAAGCAGAGGGATTCAAGAGATCTTCAAAAAGTTCATGGAAAAATAAAATTAGTGGGTTTTTTTTAATACAGATTTTTCATGAACTTTTATTTCCCTTAGTTTTTATTTGTTTGAAAGGTAGAGAGAGATGCTGAAACAGAGAGAGAGAGATCTTCCTTCCATCTGCTAGTTCACTCCCCCAGATGCCCACAGATCCTAGAGCCAGGTCAACCAGGAGCCTAGAACTCAACCCAAATCTTCCAGATGGGTGGCAGGGACCTAAGTAAGTACTTGGGCTACCACTGCTGCTTCCAGGGTACACAGTACAGGAGAG